TGCTGGGAGGTTGTGGAAGATGGTGGGAATGGGTCTGGGGGAGAATAGGGACGATGGGGGTGGAGACAGGAGGGGACCCTTCTCTTGCTTTCCCTGCCTGCCACGGAGCTGGCTCAGTCTCCTTCACTTTAACCTTCTTTTTATCTCTGACCAGTGACTTGTCTCCTGCTTTTCTCAGCTGTCTTGCAGCCCAGGTCCCACAGCTGTCCCTGGAAACACAGGCAAAGCCTTCGAGGCCGCCTCTGGCCGCGCCTTTCCATCTCTAGTGGCTAGGGCTGTGGTCCCCAAGCTGCCCGTGGGCGGCAGACGCTGGCCTCCCTGGCACAGGTCTTCGGCATTTTACTCGGGGGCAGATTGGGTGGGGGTCTTGGCGTGACAGGTTGGGAAGTCCTGAGAGCTGTCAGAGGCCCAGTTAGAAAGGGCTGAGGGAGTGGAATAGACCAGATCCGTCTGGAAGAGGAATAGGCCAGATCCGTCCGGGAGAGGTTGCTTCTAGCAGTCAGTGAAACCCTGCCTGGGCCCAGCCGGGCAAATCAAGGTGCCCCGGAGCAAATCCAGGTGCCCTAATACACCGGTGGACCGAGGGGTTGTAAGTCAGCTGATCAGAGCTGAGGGTGCGCTTTCTCACAGAAAAAAAAAGTGTTTCATGATCAACTGTGTCTCCCAGTGCCTAAGGACCTCCCTTCCCAGGTATAAGTCAGGCCACGCTTTCTCAATGAGGCTTTTGCTCTTCTGGCTCACTTCTAGGTGCTGGAAATGCAGGTAAGTTGAACATCAGTGCACGTGCCTGGACACAGGAGGAGTGGGCATCTTTCGGGTGGGAGAGGCCCTTCGTGGGTGTCTGTTTTCAGGATAGGCTGTGTCGCTTCTGGGCCCCATGTCAGCTACCCATGTCAGAATGTGCATAATCTCTAGGAGTGCTTCTTTTCCAATGCCCGATGCCATCTCCAGTGGGGAGCAGAGAGGCAGGGGAGGGGTGGAGCGAGCAAGGGCCTTGGGATGGAGTCTGAGAAGGCACTGACATGGGGACTTCATGCGGTGGTGGGGTGGAAAGACCACATTATTATCACTATAGCTGCTGGTGCCCACACTCCCTGATGCTTTGCCATGACCCTTGTCATCTGTTTCTCCTCCTGGCCACAGCCTCCAGAGTGATCTCCCGGCCGCTGTCTCCCCACTTCCACCTTGAGCAATCCTTTCCTGAGCTCCCCATGGCTTCCCCAATAAAGCCTAAACTCCTTCACTGCCCCCTTATGCATTTTCTATCTTTTTGTTGCAATAGACCACTTGCCATTCTTCAAATCTTCTCCCAGGCTCTGTCCTCCATGATTTCCCTGTCTACCTCTGCAACCCCGGCCTCATGCTGTCGGCTGCCTCCATCCCTCCCTCCGTCCTCCAGCCACAGGAGCCTCCTTTCAGCCCTTGGACCCTGCAAGCACATGCCCACCTCTGCACCTGTTGTCCCTCTGCCTGAAGCCTTTCTGTCTAACTACTCCCCACAGCCCCCCACCCCCTTGTCAGGTGAACCCTGACCTCTCCTTTAGAGCTTAACTTCCCTGCCTGTTCCCTTAGCACCTGCCACCCTCTCCTCTCCCGTCCTCTGCACTTCGTCCTCCACAGAACCTAGAACAGAGTATTGAAATCATCAGGAATTTCTCCTTCTCCAACGTGCTGATGCAGGGCAGGCCTATCCTTCCTTCTCTGGAGGCTGTCCAGTGGTTAGCATTTAGTAAGCTCTTAGGAAAACATTTATTGAGTCAAAATAATCTCTTTCTTACTGGCCTGACAGCCCCTCAAAGGCAGGACCCGCCTCCACATCACCAGGATGTCCAGTGGGGTACTGGCTTCACAGATTGCCCACAAATGCTTAGTAAATTGAATTTCAGTGACGCTGCTATTGGGAGAGTAATCAATAGTGTTTTCTATCTCTAAACACCCCCTGCTTGCAAAAAACTTCCAGGCTGTTCTTGGTTAACAACCATTCTGGGTTTTCAAAGGTGAAAAGCAATTTGCCACAAGCAGAGAATGACAAATAGTCAGGATGGGAGAGGAAGAAGGGAGGGAAGCAATTATGGGGGGGAGGGGAGGGGAGAAGGGGCTCTCAACCCCATCTCCTGAGCTCTCATTTTGCAAGTGAGAAGGAAAACTAAGAAGGCTTATTCTCATAAAATCCCTTTTGCTCCTTAAGAGACCAGGAAAGTGCCTTGTCCTTCTGTCCTGTTTAGGTATCAGAGTCTGTGAGCCTGAAGGACCCCGATCACATTGGAGGTGCTGGCCAAGGGTGCAAGGACCTTGGGACTCACCCGAGGGACACACACGTTATGCAACACATGAGGTTTAACAACGTCTCCACAAATGTTTAACATCTCCACCAACACGGGGCTATCGGCAGTTAAAAATGAAATTCTCTCTTTTGGTCATTCAACCGTATTTGCTCAGCGCCCACATGGTCCCTACTCTCCTGATATTTCCATTTTATTGGAAGAAGAGAGATTAAACACAGATACACATACATACGTGTCAGTAAACAAGAACACATCAGAGGGTTGTCGCTGAGCAGTGACGTATACAGCTCACTGCTGGAGGAGACAACTGTCGAGGGGAGCCCCGGCGCGGAAGCCGGGGAGGGACACTCCAGGCTGAGGGTGCTACCAGTGTTGGCTTGCTGGATCCAAGGTCTGGAGGAGGAAGGAGGGAGGGAGAGGACCGCGGAGGCAGCGGGCGTCAGATGATCTTTCCTCCTTCACCCGGCAAATTACCAAATCACGTGGAGCAGGAGTTGGTGGAAAGAGAATGGTAACTCAGGGAGACGGGGCTGTACTCGCTCCGTCTCTGACCTAACAGGCCTTGGGTGGGATGCTTTTCCGTCTCTTGGACTGCAGCTGTGTTATTCTGCCTCCCTCCTTCTGGGTGATGTCTGGCCACCCCAGCCCCAGAAGGCCATTCCCGTACACGTCCTCTGGGGTGCAGATGAAAACAGGATAAGATGTCCTCTGCTCTGTTGGTTAATTGGCCCGGCAAGCTTCCATTAAGAGTTGTACTTTCCGGAGGGTCTGTGCTTTAAAGGGCCTCCTTTTAAGATGATGACTGCTCCCCAACCACGTGACTCTCGGTCGCTGGTGTTGTGCACACCAACACCTGCTCGACAGCTGGCCGGGCTTCTGGACTCATGGGGTGGCTGGCTGACGGGGAGCTCCATGACGGCCACAGGAGTTCCAGCTCAAGAATCACCAATAGTCTCCCTAGAAATGGGCCACCGCCCAGCACCTGCCTCCCGCCTGACTCAGGGTGACTGCAGTGTGGATTTTGGCCGGTGGATACCAAGCACCAAATTCATGTGTGGCAGCCAGGGGACCACCCAGCCCTGAACCGCTGGCCTGCTACGCTACAGGGTGGGTTATTTTCGTGCGCGGACTTGTTTTTCCTGGCAGGGGGACGGCCACATACTTCATGGCAGCAAGTCGTGGAGCCTCTGTGGGCTCTATTTACACAGCGGGGGGAAGACAGATGCACTTTTTTGTGTGTGTAAACAGAACGGTTTATAACCCGTTAAACTGCCTGTCCTGATAGATGCGGGCCCCTCCTGCATGCGGGTAATATGTACAATATGTGTAGTGCTTCGGAAGGTACCAGCAACACCTCTGGCCAAGCACTGCTGTTCTGAATAACCCTCCTCGGCAGTGCGGGCTAATGAATGCCAGGGAGAAGCCCACAGCGGTGGTGACCAGGGAATCCTGGGATCCTCAGGAAGTGGGGAAGATCCCTGATGCCCTTCGCTCATGATCTCTACCTTATACAATGGTCTCCCACCACCACGTCTGTCCAATCTGAGCACAGAATACCTCCAGCCGTCAGATGCTCACCGCCCAGGACCTCGGCTATTCCTTGGGGGTTGGCTCAGCTTTTAGAAAGTTCTTTCTTAGTGTAGTCAAAATCTACCCTCTAAGTGTTCACCTTGGGGCTCTTTGGGGTCAGACAAGGTCCAATCCCCCCTTTCCTGGAACTGCTCTGCGCTTCGGGAGGTAGATCTCTTGATCGGGGTTGAACTGCTTTGACCTCTTCAGCTGGCTCTCCTACAACCTGGTTTTGACCCCTTTCACCGGCTCTCCAAGCCCCATTCCTTTTTCTAGAAGTGTGGCTCCCAGGTGTGAACTGAGTAGCTGGAGAGAGGGGGCTGACAGTCCCTCGCATCCTCTGAGAGGCAGGAGGGCCCTTCTATCAAATGAGAAGTGGGGTTCCCATCTCCTGGCCTCAGGCTGGTGAGCACCCCACTCTGTTAGCCACAAGGTCCCTGGAATGGGTGCTCCTGGGGCTCTGAGTAGATGGCTCGGTTGCTGGCTAAGAGCTTACGTTCTCCCTGTTCTGCATTTCCCCTCGTGTGGAAAACGGAAATACTAAACCAGGTTAATAACATTTTACTAACAACAAGAAGCCCTCGTTATGAGTGTAGTGCCTTGGGCGCTTTTACAGGCATCTTACACTCTCCAGAGTAGAGCAACCGAAGAGCTGGGTTCCTGCCCCATGGTACAGCTGAGGAAACTGAGGCTCAGGGGAGTGAGATGACGTGACCATGGCCCTGGGTAGATGGCAACACTACCCAGGAATAGAACCGGGGTTTTTTGAGGCCAAATCAAATGTTTTTCCCGTGTCCTCAAACAGCTCTCTTGCATGCGGGGGAGATAAGACTTTCTCCTAATGAAACAACCAAAGATTTGAATCCTGTGTTTGTTCTCTGGCACACCGGGGACAAATGTGAGGCCTCGGGTCATGCCCTTCGTCCCCTTCATGCAGCACTGTTGAGTCCATGAAGCAGAGGCCAAGGGGAAGGGCTGAGTCTAGTGGTCCCCTCTTTGCTGCAATGTCCTGGCCCGGAGACCAGAGCCAGACATGCCTGCCCAGCTGGGGCCTGGGTTGAGCCTCCCCAGGATGGTGGCAGGTGTCTGCTCTGTCACTCTCCTCAGTGCCTGGAAGTCCAAGGCCATGAGGACTGGCTGCCTTCCCGGAAAACACGGGTCACTGTCTGGTCGGCCTGTCCTTGAGCCCAGGCCTAGCTCTGTCCCATGGCAGGATATGGACGGGGAGCGGCGAACTGTCCTCCTCTTCTCTCCCGGGTAGGACAGCAGGCTCCCAGACCTGGGAAACCCTCCAGGTGAGAACCTCTGTTCTGTAGGAGAGGCGTCAGCTCTAAGCCAGGCCTCCGGGGTCGTCACAGGGACTGGGGATCCCAAGGGCCGTGTGTCCAGTGACGTTCCGGGTGGGAGGCCAGCCTCTGGAGAGCTCAAAGGAAGGACTGTGTTTTTAGGGAAGAAGACAGGGCAAGAATCACCTCCCTCTCCTTGAGCGAGTGGCTCCAAAATGGCCTCTCTCCAATCTGTCTCTGCCAGGGCAGGACACACAGGGTCAACAGGGCTGACGTCAGTCCCTGTCGCTCCCACTCCTCACCATCTGAGCTGCCTGGTCTCAGCACAGCTTGTGTGTGGTTGAGATAGCACGGGGAGGAGACTTCCCGAATCCTAGATTTGACCACAGTGAGCAGAAAGCCTTTTTTTCTCCTGGAGAATGGTGGGGTCAGCCTGCCGGTGGACGGGAAGGCTGACCCTGAGATGTGTGGGGTGTGAAGAAGCAGGATGATCTCGCAGGAGGGGGTTGGGTTTAATCAGGCTCCCACTGGGCACTGAGGCCCTTGTGACAAAGAAAAGAGCCAGTCTTGTTCTCGAGATGGGGTCATGTTTGTGCGAGGTCCAGAGACGGAGGGGGTGGGCGGTGGGCAAGAAGGTGGCCGTTTCCCCCTCTTTGCTGGCGTCGAATGTGGTGCACTGAAAAGAAAACCTTGTGGGGGCGCCTGGGTGGCGCAGTCGGTTAAGCGTCCGACTTCAGCCAGGTCACGATCTCGCGGTCCGTGAGTTCGAGCCCCACGTCGGGCTCTGGGCTGATGGCTCAGAGCCTGGAGCCTGTTTCCGATTCTGTGTCTCCCTCTCTCTCTGCCCCTCGCCCGTTCATGCTCTGTCTCTCTCTGTCCCAAAAATAAATAAACGTTGAAAAAAAAATTAAAAAAAAAAAAAAAAAGAAAACCTTGCGGGAGGTAGGCTGAAAAGACCTGGTGTCGAGTCCCAGCTCTGCCACAGACTGACCGCCAGAGGTGGACTCCGTGTTCTTATCTGTGAAAGGGGGTGTTGAAAAATGTGTCCCCTGAAAGGTTACCAAGCCGTGAGCCCTGGATGTGAGAGGGCGTATTCAGTTGTGATGCGCTAGCGGCCAGGACCGATGTCACCAACAGGCTTGGTGGTGGTGGCTCACCCCTGGGGGGGGGGGGGGGAGGAGGAGGAGGGGCAGCCCAGTGGGATTTTGCATCATTCCTTCCCCACTAGGAGGAGCACTTGGCACTTGCAGAGGCTGGATTTTCTGCGTGGCAGGATGAGAGGTTGGAGTGGAACCCGCTGCCCTGCTCCCACCTCCCCCTCCCCCCCACCTCCTCCCGCCCCTCTTCCCCCTCTCCCCCCTCTCCCAGGCTTCCCTCAGGGCAAACATCCCAGCAGGACCTTCCATCTCCCTCTGACCGCCCTCCCTCGGCCTTGGCAGCCTTTCAGAGACCGAGGAGGAGGCCAGGCTGCCAGGAAGGGTGGGGCTGCCTGGCAAGGCCCAGCCGCAGTGTGACCCCGCCAGTCCCGGAAACGCTCCAAACCTTGGACCTCAGCGGACATCCGGCGACTCAGCGGCAGGGCCTGTCAGGGGGACGGAGCGCGTGTGGGATTCCTCTGAGGTCAGGTTTGCTGGAGACTTCTAAGAGGAGAAAGGAAGAGCCGTATTTTAGCCAATTCTGGAGTCAGAGGGCTCTGGGATGTGTTCACAGTGTGAACAGAAGTACTGGGACGGCCTCCAAAAAGGCTTCTCACAGGGTTGTGCATGTATCCTAGATTTCTTTTTTTTTTTTATTAATTTGTTTTAATGTTTATTTATTTATTTTGAGAGACAGAGACAGAGCATGAGCAGGGAAGGAGCAGAGAAAGAGACACAGAATCCGAAACAGGCTCCAGGCTCCGAGCTATCAGCACAGAGCCCGAAGCGGGGCTCGAACTCACAAACCGTGAGATCATGACCTGAGCTGACGCCGGATGCTCAACCGACTGAGCCACCCAGGCGCCCCCTAGATTTCTTAATTAAAAAAAAAAAACATAAGTCAATAGTGCTTTCTGAAGAGTGCTCGCCACGTACTAGGCGCTTGCTAAACCTGTTACCCACATGAATCCTTCAACAACTCGATGAGACGAGAGTTTTGTTATGCCCAATTTATAAATGAAGACACCAAGGGTCAGGGGCAAGTGTCATTTGCTCAAGGTCACAGAAATACTAATTGCTGGAGTCTGGATTGAAACCCAGGTGGGGCTGGCTGATTTCAGACCCCAGGTTCTTCACTTTCTTAGAAGGCAGAAACCACAGTCTCCTCGTCTCTATAGAATGCCTGGTACCTGGAAGACATCCAGTAAAGATAGGCTGATCAGGGCTTGATGTATTTTGGAGGGTCTGATTCTCTCCCATTATAGACTGATGAAATAACGTAAAATATGGGAAAGTACTTAGCTCAGAGGCAGGTGTGCGTGTAGTAGGTCCACATAAATCCGAAGGTGAGGCCCGGCTTTCCTCCTTTCTACGTGATGTATCTGTGCTTGTGAATAGTATTTTCAAAGAACACAGCACCCCCTGGGGTCCCTGCCCCGGCAAGGCTGTGAAATGACCCTGTTGTATCCCCTTGGCCAGAGGGAGTAAAGGGCCATGCTGGTGGGGTGGGGGAGGGAAGGATGAGTCTGTGACTCTCTTCTGCGTCCCGCATGCCGCAGGTTTGGGAGAAAAGACACCCGTTCTGTTTGCTGAAGTCTCTAAGAGAGCCCTCCTCTTCCAGCTCCACAGAGACGGTGTGGACCCGGAAGCTTGGACCACTCAGAGCCCCGAGAGGCTGAGTCACACCCACATGTGTGAGAAACACCGACAGTGTCACAGCATCGAAGGATGTTGGAGTGGGTGTGGTCTTGTTGGAAGGAAAAGGGTCTGCGGTGGGACAGCTGGGCCAACCCCGGGGTCCCCTGGTTCCCATGCACACCCACGGGGCACTTGGCCTGCCTCCTTATTTCCAGGCAACTGCACACCTGCTTCTCCCTCTGGGAGCCTCCCGGCCCGCCTGCCTTCTTGGCTTTCGTTAAGGTGGTTGAGATAGAACTGTCCCATAATTCCGTGTGTTTAACCCTCTCTGGGCTGGGTCTCAACAGACCCGCACTGACATGAAATTGGTCACAGTCCAGGCAGAAAATGTAACCCATTCCAGAAATCTCCGCGGTTATGGTTATGAAGGCACTGGAGGAGATGAGAGGGCAGGCAAGGGTGAAAGGCAGTCTTGAGAGTAGCAACCACTGGAAAATGCTACCATTCTTGGGTGGAAAGTCACAGAGAGGAGATGATGTTTCCAGAACCGGAGAGACTGGAATCCTGGTGGAGGTTTCCTGGCAGGAACTGGGACCGCAGAGGTGACCTGCCAGGGTAGAGCGACTCTGGTTTCTATCCTCCTGGCTGTGGCTGTTGGGACCTTGGCAAATGTGGCCTGCAGGGATCAGCCTCCTATGGGAGGGAGCAGGGTGCAGGAGGGGAGGACCCGGATCTGAGGGCAAACAAGCAAACGACCTGCCTAATCTCCAGCTAGTCAGACCTTTGAAAGAGACTGCATCCCTCCAAGGGGTGATGGAGAGGGTTGGCCCTAAACTTGCCTCTGGAAATTGTCCCAGATCCTCTACTGGTTACTGCAATTAGTGGTAATGCCTAAGCATTATCCCTGCTGGGACTGAGGCAGAGAAAGAACCATTTTTTCAGGCAGATCTGCTTCTTGCGTATTTTTCGAAGGCTATGGGAACCTCTGGTTCTTGACCAAGCACCAGTTTTGACAATAAAATCAGTCTCGAGGGACGGAAAGATCTATTGCAGACACTCGGGCAGACTTACATGCGTGTTAGGAGGGACACTGGACTCAGGGTCAGGAGACCTGAGGATATGTCTTGGCTCAGACAAGTTGCTTACCGTCTTTGAGCCTCAGGCTGCACATCTTTCAAATGGGGACTCTGTGTTTGCCGGGGTTCTGTAGAAGTGAGCAACAGAATGCACGCAAAGGGGGTTGTAGACGACAGAATGTTCAGACAAAGTCTTGTGCCTGGGAATGCACACGATCACAGGATGTTGCTCAGCTCTGTTTCGGGGTCGATGTATCCCTTTGGAGTGGACACCTATAACCCTTGTCTTGTAACCACAGAATCGAAAACAGCTGGATTCCAGGCAGCTTGTCCAAACCTTCTCCTGAAGGAGGAACCTGTTCTCCAAAGTTCTCAAAGATGATCCTTCCCACCCTCCCTTCCACAAATATTTGGAGCACCCACGCTTTGTCAGGCACTGTGCTGGTCCTGGGGCAGTAACAGAGACAGATATGGGCCTCGTCCTCACTGAGCTGACAGTCTAGCACTTGAAAGTCTCTGCAAACAATTTCTGTTGAATACCTCTAGTAACAGGATGCTCGCCACCTTACAGGACGGCCTCTTTTTTTTTTTTTTTTTTTCCGGTCAGTTTTTCCTTATTTAAACTGTAATGTTTGTTCTGACCTCTGGGGCTATACAAAACAAGTCTAACCCCATTTCCTATGTCAGTGCCCTTAGAACGTGGAAAAATAAACATGGTACGCTCAGAAAACATTCTCACTCTCCAGTTTCCACTCGTGAAAGGGAAGCTGATTCTCTGTGACGTTAAATTCCCCCAGGCCATGAGGTCAGAGCCAGGGTGGTCTGTCTACACTCTGGGTGCTCTGGCCCTGCTCCCAGGCCACCGGGGGCAGAGGGAAACTGCGTGGCGGAGACCCGTGAAGGGATGTGGGGTAGAGGTTTGGAGGTGGCCGGGGAGGCGGGCCCGAGTGAAGCGCAGGGGTCTGTCACTCTGGTGTGCGGGGGGTGGGGGGGGGAGGTTGGGGGGTGGTGGTGTATGGGAGGCACTCTCTGGCCGTCTGCCCAGGACAAGCCACAAGCCTGAGCTCCCGGGTTTCTGCTCTGATTCACAGCTTCCTCTCTTCCCAGAGGAATCCCCTTTATAGCTCTCGAGGCCTGACCCCAGCGTCCCCGCGAATGTTGTCTGACTGCTGCACGGAGTGCAGCCGCAGCTCCTGTGCCGGGTGCCAGCTGGACGTGCTTGGCGGCTGGGGCCCTGGGAGCCACCTCTCGGGATGTCAGAGGGGAGCTGCAGCCGCCCTTCCGTCAGCAGGAAGCCCAGCCACAAACACTTGGACAGGAAGCGCAGGCGCTGGCCAGCTGAGCGAGCTCTGGTTTCTCCCGTGTCTGAGGGCCTGGCCCAGTGTAGAGGAAGACCAGCCAGGTGCTTCGGCCTGCACTGACAGGGCTGGGATGTGGGCTCTGGGCGTGAGCGGAAAAGCACCGCTGAGGCTGGACCAGAGGAGGCGCTTCCTGGAGGAGGGTGAGGGAGCAGGGAACACGGCGTCTAGCAGACCTCGGCCAGCTGGCTGGGGACATGCAAAGACCCCTTTGTGATGGTTCCAGACAAAATGTGTTCGCTTGGGCCCAGACCTCTGGCATAAGCCAGGCCGGCTCCAACTTCCAGGCGGCCTCCGCCTCTGTGAAAACACACTGTAGTCCCCTGGGGTGGGATGTCCACACGTTCCCAGCTTGAAGAACGACTCCTCTCAGGGGAAGCCTCTTTCGTAACCTACCGGGTTGTATTGTGAGTGAATTAATACAAAATAGAGCGTGCTGAGCTGGGGACAAAGGCAATTTTGCATTCCGGTTGACGTTCCTGCTTCTAAGTGCTACGCGTGATTATCCTCAGGGCAGTCTGTGTGTGCAGACCATGTGTGTGCCCCAAGGACCCTCAGGATTTACAGAGCGCTTCAAATTTTCACAAGTCGCTCGGGTATTTTTTTCCCCCACTTTTGCTTCTCATGACCTGATACGTCAGTAAGAGATGCCCGGTATCTGGGGACCAGGAGGTAGGCAGATTGGCTCAAGGTCACATGGCTCAGTCATGGCAGATCCAGGGCCACCGCCATGACTTGTCTTGCTCTAAAAAGATAACTTAGATGATTATTACTTCCCAAGTGCCCGAACCTCTCCTACCTTACCCTGGACTGCGTGCTTTCAAGCTCCCGCCCTCGGAGTCTGTAGCTAATAGCCCGTTGTTTGAAGCACATTTTGAAAACCTTCTGGGTGAATCCTGCCTGTGGCTTTATTCCCTCCCCCTGCCATGCCCACGGGTTTTTATTGGTGGCATTTCAATAATCTAGATTTTATCATAGTCTATGACCTCTATGGTTCTGACTCTAGACCAAGGGTTAGCAACTTTTTCTGTAAAGGGATAGACAGTAAACATTTTAAGTTACGGGCCACTTGGTCTCTGTAGCAATTGCCCAACTCTGCCATTGTGGTGCAAAAGCAGCCATAGACAGTGTGTAAACAAATGGCGTGGCTGTGTTCCAATAAAGCTTTATTCACAAAAACCGGCAGTGAGCTAGGTTTTGCACCCAGGCTGTAGTTCACGGATCTCTGCTTTTGAACTCCCTGAAGACAGAGACTCTTGTTCTTAAACAACTACAAGCACTCTCCCTACTCCCGGCACCAGTGTTGGGTTGACTGTGTTTATACCTTGTGCTTAACGGAGTTCATTGTTAGTTAATTCAATGAGTGGAATGTCTGAAGGAGTTTGCAAATGAAGCCATTATAGAACTGGTTAGGTTTTGATTCTGATCCTCAGCTGGAAGCTATACAATATGGTTGAGTATAATCTCATTGAGGAGAATTGGTAGGCCTGATTTGAACACCAATTCTGCTACTTCTTAGCCCTAAAAGCTTGGGCACGTAACTTGTGCTGAAGAAATGGTGGCCATTGCTACCTGGAGGGACATGGTGCTCCTGCTGAACGCTCTCTGTGCTCGGGGTCAGGTTCCAGATGGGGCCTCAGTATTGTCTACTGTCTGACACACAGAAAGGATATCGTGAGAATAAATGGAAAGATATCCTTTAGCCAGGAAAAGGTAGGGTTATGTAAACCCAGGCAGTTTTGCAGAGGTGTCCCTTATGTGGCATCCCAAAGTCACTATCTACAACAGAACTCGTCTCCACCATCCACCTCCAAAGCTGCGCTTTCCTCTCCGTCTCCACAGATGCCAAGGTGGACACCTGAAGGTCATCTGCATCTGGCTGGCTCCTTCCTACCCCAAGACCAGTGTGCACCAAAGCAGTCACCTTCCCCTCTTCTACATGCCCTTGCCTGTTCAGGGTCTATCACCTGTGTTATAGCTGCTTCCGGTGGCTCCCTACCTCATCTGTGTAACCACTTTGCTGTTAGATTTACGTTTCAAAATACAAATCTGGCTTCTGAAATCTTCAATGGTCCCCCACTGCTGGTAGGCCAAAGTCCACTGATCTCCTTTGGTCTTTCCAGCCTCATCTCCCAGCATTCTTTGCCACGTGTTCTAGCCTCTTGGGTGGATCTCACTATGGGCAGTCTCATCTGTTGCATTTTTTTTTTTTTTTTATGTTGTTACCTGCTCCATTCTGCTCACACCCCAGCACTCCGATTCTGTCCAGGATATCACAAATCAATCACTAAATAGTATCCTGTGGCCTCAGAGTTTTTAAACACATTTTTTTAAAGGCTTGTCACTCAGTTCTAGTTTGGAACTTAGCTCTGGGAAAATCTGTACCATTGGCGTATTTAATTTTTTTTTTTTTCCAGCTGAAATCAGGGAGCTTACATATCAGACAATTTCTGTCTAGAAATATCCAGACATTGTGTTTATGGGTCAACTCGGTAACAGCAAACATGAGGCTTCCAGTCCTGGAGAATAGTGTTGTGAGCAGTACGGATGCCATTTGATTAAATTCTCCTTCCAGAATTCCTCTAGTGTTACAGAACAGAGGGCTCCTTCCAGCAGCTGGAACCTCCAGCAAAACCTGTCCCCGAGTGACCACGCATGAATCCGACATGACCGGCAGCTGATAAATGGCCTCCTTACAACTTCAAAGCCTGGTGAGTCTGGAATGAAGAATGAGGCTTCCAGGCCAGGGAATTGGAAGGGCGAAAAAAAATCACATGGGTCTTGTCCTTGCCATCCTGCTGATGGGTAATTGTAACTCATCCTTGCCCTTGGGAAGGGTCCAAGTGCAAACACCAGGGCCAGTCTGTATTGGTTTTCTTCCCACTCTACTCGCCCCTCTCCTCTCCACCCTAGTCTAACCTGCTACCCACTCAGGGCTTATTGAAATCCTTTCTTCTTAATTTTTTTTTTTTCAACGTTTATTTATTTTTGGGACAGAGAGAGACAGAGCATGAACGGGGGAGGGGCAGAGAGAGAGGGAGACAGAATCGGAAACAGGCTCCAGGCTCTGAGCCATCAGCCCAGAGCCTGATGCGGGGCTCGAACTCCCGGACCTTGAGATCGTGACCTGGCTTAAGTCGGATGCTTAACCGACTGCGCCACCCAGGCGCCCCTGAAATCCTTTCTTCTGAGCATAGGGAACTAGCACATGGAGCCCCATACAGTGTTGACGGAACCTTCATCCTCACCGGTTTGCATACCAGAATTAAGTATTCTGCTGTCTTGTCCAAAGCTACAGAGACTGTTTTGTTTTGTTTTGTTTTGTTTTGTTTTCTTTTGCAGAGCATTGTATAAAGGCTCAGTTCTTCTCAGACATCAGTAGGGCTGAAAACTTGGGCAAATGCAAAGAAATGATTTTTTTCAAAAATAAGAAAGACATTTGTTTTTGCTTAAAATCTGCTATTACTAACCTCTCTGATGTAAAATTCCTGTTGGGTTTAGAAACAGTGAAGTGTAAGGGACAGAGAACGAGATGGAAGATTTTCCCTTAATCTGGAAAGGAAATTAGCTCCTCGTTATCTTACAAAATGCTTCTTTTTGATGCTAACTCACCTGTACTCTAGGGCCGTTAGGAAAAACTATTGCTGTGTTGGATTTCTACAATGCTTTGAATTGTAAGTAAGAAAGCACTGTGAGAGGCATAGCTTAATTTTAGAAACTTGAAATATTGAAACCTCAACTTACTACACAAACAAAAGAATGCATTTTGGCAGTGTAGACTAATCTGCAACACTGAAAAGATGAACATCACGCAGCATTGAGAATGTGATTCGATTTACTGAGGTTTAGCCTAGCATTTCACGTAAACCTTCCACGGCATAAATCAGTTAAGGATGTTTTCATATTGTATGGATTAGGATTAGGTTTGGGTTTAAACAAGGCATAAGTTTGGTTCTCTCGTGTAAAAGTCCAGGTGGGTGGTATGGGGCTGAATCACCTCCCTAGTATATCGGACACCCAGACTTGTCCCTTCATTCATTTCTTTAATCAGTCAGTCAGCAAATATTTATCCAGCATCATTTAGGCACTGGCATTACAGCAGCGGGGGGAAATATGGGGAGACACAAAAATCTCTGCCATCATGAGGTTTGCATTTTGATCCACTGTGCATGGCCTTGAACTCAGGGCCCGAGATGGCAATATCTCTGCATTCTGGGCAGCAGGATGGAAGAAGGAATAAAGGAGAAGGAGGAAAGAATGCACCTATGTAATTTCTTTTTAAGTTAATTTATTTATTTTGAGAGAGGGAGCACAAGTGGGGAAGGGGCAGGCAGAGAGGGAGAGAGAGAGAGAATCCCAAGCAGGCTCCACCAGCGCTGAGCCCAATGTGGGGCTTGGACTCACAAACCACGAGATCCTGACCTAAGCCAAAGTTAGACGCTAAACAGATTGAGCCACCCAAGCACCCTGCACCTATGTAATTTCTTAAGAAAGCTCTTGGAAGCCAGATGATTCTTTCCCATTCATTCTATGTGGTGATTGGTCATGTGGCCCCACCTAGCTGCAAGGGAAACTGGGGAATGTAGTTTTCTTCTTCCTCTCCTCCTCTTCCTCCTCCCCCCCCCCCCTTGTTCTTCCTCTTCTTCCTCCTCTCCTTCTTCAAGTGGGAATGTAGTCTTTGTTTCCAGTGACCCCCACGAGCCAGCTGAAAATCTGTTATTAAGGAAGAAGAGAGAATGAATAATGGTGGGGGGCAGGGGACTACTGGTATCATCCACAAATAAAACTTGTAATTAAAAGATAATAATACATTTTATTTAATATAGACAATCCAAAACATTATTTCAACAAACAACCAATAGAACAATTATTTCACATTCTTTTGTTACTCAGTCTATAAAATCCACTGTCTATTTCCCACTTACATCACTTCCATTCTCTCGCTCGTTCACGCACACCGTATCTGAGTTCCGATCAGTCATAAGGCAAGTGACCCACAGCCACACCAGACTGTGCGACCTCGGAGCCTGGCAACTTGAAGTGTGCCAGCAGCACGGGCAGCACTGGGGAGCTGGTTAGAAATGGTGACTCTGGGCCCCACCCCAGACCTACTAAATTAGAATTTGTATTTTATTTTATTAAAAAAATTTTTTTTAATGTTTATTTTTTTTTTCAACGTTTATTTATTTTTGGGACAGAGAGAGACAGAGCATGAACGGGCGAGGGGCAGAGAGAGAGGGAGACACAGAATTGGAAACAGGCTCCAGGCTCTGAGCCATCAGCCCAGAGCCCGACGCGGGGCTCGAACTCACAGACCGTGAGATCGTGACCTGGTTGAAGTCGGACGCTTTAACCGACTGTGCCACCCAGGCGCCCCTAATGTTTATTTTTAAGAGAGAGAGAGAGATAGAGCACGGGCTGGGGAGGGGCAGAGAGAGGGAGACACAGAATCCGAAGCAGGCTCCAGGCTCCAAGCTGTCAGCACAGAGCCCGACGCAGGGCTCAAACTCACAAACTGTGAGATCATGACCTGAGCCGAAGTCGGATGCTTAACCGACTGAGCCACCCAGGCGCCCCTAGAATTTGTATTTTAATAAGATCCCTAGGTGATTGGTGTGCACATTCAAGTATGGTGGGCACTTTTCCGTATTTCTTTAAAAAAAAAACATTTTTTTAAATGTTTTTATTTATCTTTGAGACAGAGAGAGCATGAGCAGGGGAGGGGCAGAGAGAGAGGGAGACACAGAATCCAAAGCAGGCTCCAGGTTCTGGGCTGTCAGCACAGAGCCCTATGTGGGGCTCGAACCCACAGACCGTGAGGTCATGACCAGAGTTGAAGTCGGACGCCCAACCAACTGAGCCACCCAGGTGCCCCTGTATTTCTTCTTCAGATGAGGATGTGTCAGAGTCTAATAAAAAGTCCAGAGACAAGAGAAGCTACTCCCAGCAAACTCTCTGCACTCAAGTGCGGGAATTTGTCAGACCCCATCCTTCCTTTCTTGGATCCTTTTAGCCTGCTAATTTGACCTTTCGAGAAGGGGCAGCTTTAAAGACGTTACATTCAAACAGATCTATTAATTTTGGCTAATTGGCCAAAGGAGAAACCGGAAAAACCAAACAACATAGAATTGTTGGATTATAAATATATTTCATTTTAAATTCAAGATACTGTGTAAGTTCGGAGCGTGGTGCAACCATCACCCTCGTCTGTTTTAGAACATTTTCATCACCCTAAGAAGAAATACTGTGTCTCTTGTCAGTGAGCACCCCTTCGCTGCTAGCTCTAGGCAACCACTAGTCTCCTTCAGGTCCCTGTAAATGTGCCTATTCTGAAAAGCATACCTTATGTGGTTTTTGGTGATTGGCTCCTTTCTTTTAGCCTAATGTTCTCAAGGTTCGTCTTTACTGGAGCCTGCATCAGTACTTTATTCTTTTTTACCGCCGAATAATACTCCACGGTATGGATATATCGTATTTTGTTTATCCCTTCAGAAACTTGTAAAGTTTTAGTATCGAAGACAGAAAGAAGCAGAAAAAACAGTAAGGCGTTCAGGGTCACAGAGGATCAGAATTGAGAGGAACCTCAAAAATCACTCTCTGCCTTGTTTTCCATGTGGAAAACCTGAGACCCAGCAAAGGGGAGCCATTGGCCCGGGGTCCCTCAACATCAGGGGTCTCGAGCTGTGGTGAGGACCCAGGTTGTCCTGACTCCAAGACCTGTGCTGTTCTCTGCCGCCATACGTCCAGGGCCTCGGGGCTCTCCTCCAAGGTGGCCATGGGACCAGTCATCCCTGGTGATAGCAGAGAAAGGCACGAGAATTCTCATCTCAAACTTGGCTTCGGTTTGGAAAACGGTTTGGAGTTCAGAGCCCCAGGTGGATTTGGAGTGGGGAAATACAGGGAGACACAAAAATCCCTGCCATGGTGAGGTTTGCATTTTCATCCAGTGTGCATGGCCTTGGACTCAGGCCATGAACTCAGTTACTTCTGGAGAACTGTTTCGAAGAACTGGGAGCGAGGGCTCAGTCTGATATTCTGGACCTCTCTCCATTTCACTTTCGGCCACATCTCTCAACCATCAGGAAGAATGTGCGAAACACTCAGGAACGAAGGGCGCGGCTCAGATGGACCCACTCAAACAGAGGCCGAGGAGGGAAGACGACTTGCCCGAGGCGCAGCCCGTGTTCACAGGGCACCGTCTGTCTGTGGTTCTTTTGCCAGTCGGGGCCTTGTTTGCAGGCAACAGAAGTAGGTTCTTTCCCCTGATGCCACCACCTCAGGACACTTGCTGCCTCTTCTCGGGACTCTTGACTGCCACCACCATCATAAATAAATCTCGGAAACCTCTGTTTTCAGGCCTCGCTGTTGGATTCAAAAGCTCAGGCATGAACCCGTGATAGACTGGGTGCCTTGAAGTGTGGAGGGTGAATGTCTATTCCCCTTCGGCCTCCGCCACAGCGGGTGGGGCTGTGCCTCTCCCCTATTTTGGGATTCTTCTAAATTAGGCAGATTGGAGAGTGGGTAGTCAAAAAACAACAGGTGCCCATGGCAGATATAAGTATAGTGTTCTCCAGTGAGGAAAAACAGAAGCTGTGTCCCACCAAACAATACCGAAGTTGGGCAGTGACTCAGGGAGGCAGGAGCCGGGAAAGAGGGATCTGGGTACTTGAAAGAGGCTGAGGAACTTCCTGGGGGAATGTGACCCATTCTG